AATATGGAAGCTTATGCCGCTGAGGACTTACTTCTTGAAGTCCTTCAATCGAGGATCGGCTATCACTGGTTGTATCCGCCCAGGTCGTCGTGGACGTAGACCCCTACCATACCCCGCCTAGGGTCCTGATATCCCGTTCACGGAGTTTTTTGCGGAAATAAGAGGAATGCAGTCCGGTACGAAGCTATCCGAGTCGGCAAAAGCACTGGCAGCTGCTATTCGGGACGTTGAGGGTGAGCACGAAGGAGAATGGACAGCTGTTACTATCTCTCGAGGAACCGCAAACAGAATTAACAAACAACATATAGGTGCTATACCTGGGAATCCGGTCACGTTCAACGCCGGGATTAGCGACCATAGACCACCGGCCGAAGACGAAGATATTGGTGTGATTGGCATTCCACTCGTCGTCAAGCTGAAGTTGGGATGCCGAATAGTATTCACGAAGAACTGCCGAGGTGCTTACTGTAACGGTGACCTTGGTCTAGTCACTGAGATGCTGAATGTCGAGGGTGTAAAACAAGTCGATTATGGCGCCTTCGACGAAGCCTGCGAGCTATCAAGTGTCCCAGTGATACGAGTTAAGCTCGACCGTACCGGACAAGAGATAACTGTAGAGCCGGTCACCCAGACCGTGACCAATTATTAATTGGTTTCGCCTTTTGTAGTGCAGCCTTTTGTAGGGAGCCGTCGGCTCCCTCCTGTACAAAAGGCGAAACTTGCCTGTGGAGTTAGGGGCAGCTCTGACATGCCATAAACTGCTGGGATCGACGCTCAAGTACATTGTTATTGATCTGTCGAAGGATGACGAATATAAGAGCCCACACACAGTGCACATCGATATTGAACGCAGGCTGCGTGAGCCTTGGCTTTTTGGCGTTCTATATACGATGTTCACGCGTATTGGAAGCTCAAATCAAGTATACACTAAATGGGTAGGCACAGAGCGGCTCACTAAAAAGCTCGTGTTCTCTCCATCGGCTAAGAAGTTCGATGAGTTCTGTCGCGAGCATGACAGACTGAATGTTCTGCACGATCGACAGTTTCATCGATGAAATTCATCATG